CTATCAACTTTTACTTTTCAAAATCACTTTTTCTTCAAGCACTATCAACTTTTATTTAATCACTTTCTCCCCAACTTTTATTGCTTTCGAGCACTAAGCTCATTAGTTTGAACTTTGAATTCAGTTGATAGCTTTTACAAATAACTTGAGCTTTTAATCAAACTAATTTGAGCCATACACCAATTAATTAACTTTCAAACTGTGTGCTACCTAAAATTTTAAGGCAATTCTAATTCTAACTAACCCGACGTATACCAACATCAAACCGTTCCGATCAAAATAAGAAAAACCACATTGAACATATAATGATATGGGGAAAACCATTATCCTTTTACTTATAACGGAAAAGTTAACACCGTTAGTTCTCGGATTATTTTTGTGAAACACTTAACTAGTAGGAATTATATTTGTGAAATTTATGAGTAGAGATTATTCTTGTAAAATCTGTAAACGTAGGGATTATTGGTGTCAATTTTGCCATATTAATATACTCCTTCCTTCCCAAATTTTTTTAGGCTGATTTGACTTTCATTGATCAATGATTCAATGGTAATAAAATTTGAGCAAAGATTTCCGTTAATATATTTGTGTGAAACTTATAACTTTTATACTTTTATAAAATTGACTATTATAAAAAACATTTCCATACAACTTTCAATTCATATTTGTAATAATTTTATATAAAAAATCATTGGTCAAATTTGATCGTCATTGATCAAGAAAAATCATTATTGTTAAGAAAGAAAACTCATACGGAGTAAATCATAATCACTATAAACTAAGTTCATAACTTCATTAATTAATATAATGATCATAAAATGTCTCATGACAAATCGCATTTACGATTATCCTATGTCATATTTGCATTATTAAGTCATTAGGAAGCAAAATTGAAATTCTTAACTCTTTCAGAGACTATGTGAGAATTTGGTAGGAATAAATTCATACGTTTTAATTAGTTTTTATACGGAGTATTATTTAAAAGTCTTTAAAGGCTTCTAATTGAATGTTTAATATATAGTATATTTTTTAAGAATTTTAAAAAATAAAATTCTTTTATTGTATGTGAGAATTTGGTAACAAATTTTTTATATTTTAAATCAAGATCGTTATATCATACTGAGAATCGACTACAACTTTCCTACTCCAACCACAATTCATAGCCCTACGATTAGAAACAAGACAATCAACGCTGAAATAGCAACACCACCAAGCGGGTTTAAAACAACTAATGTTAATCTTATAAGTCCCCATACCAATAATAACATCAGAACAAATAGAACAGCCAGCCAACCTCTCAAAACTAGCAACATGGTACAAAAATGTAGCAACAGAAAAACTCATAAGTGTAACAACAAAACGGATCCAGCTCCTCTGCCTTACTTAGGCAGACAAGGAGGGTGTCAGGCCATTTTGAACCATCAGATCAAAAAACTAATGGCATAAGATGAGTGGGTCCTTTTTGGGCACAAATCTCGATGCCTCTCTTTTAATCCCGGCCCTCTATATTGGTAAGGTACTCTGCCATAAGGTAGAGGATCCTAATCCCAACAAAACACCTGAATAAATTCACTGATATTTTACATCCCCTTGACCCCGTTACTTATTGCAATCGACGCGCATTCTAATATTACATTCATTCATTTCGGAACAATCAAATACAAGTGTCCCATCCTAGGCTACCCATCCACCTTGGTGGGGTGGTTTAAGAGAGGGGAAGGGCTCAAGGTCCATCAGTGACTACATCATATATGAGACAGACATGATAATTTTTAGTAAATAAATTTAGAGTTGAAGGAATATCATAAGCAATCAAGTAGATGCAAAAAATACGGAGTAATTCATACCCATCGCTCATCCTGCACCGCTACACTCCAAGCCTTCAAAACAACAAAATGTACATATCTAGAGAATCCTAAGAGCCCGTTTGGAGAACTCTGTTTTCGGCTTATCAGGCTTATCAGCCAGCTTTTTCACCAAACACGTAACTTTTACTTTCGCGCGCTGAATTGTGTAATAAGCCGAAAAAGTAAGGTTGAAGTTACTTTTCTGGCTGTATTGGCTGAAGTTACTGTAGAGGACCATTTTAGCTATTTTTACATATAATTTTTTCTTTAATTTATTAATAAAATATATTTTCAAAATATTTTTTTCTTAAATCAGCAGAATCAGCCAAAACAGCCACTCCAGCCAGAATATCATAAATTTCAGCAGAATCAGCCAAAACAGCCGATTTTGGTGCTACCAAACGGGCTCTAAAACACCAAAAACGAGTCACAAAACCTAGGCATAAAGCGTAACTATGCCACAGTATAGTAAGGTGTCTAAATTCATGCGGTCGATCCAATCGAGAGAGTTCCGAGGAGGCTGGAGTTGTGTGCGAATTTTAGGAACTATATTAATATTAATTAATATACTCCTTCCTGGCTTCCTTCCCATTTTTTTTTTTTGGCTAATTTGACTTTTATTGATCAATGTTCAATGGTAATAAAATTTGAACAAAGATTTCAGTTAATATATTTGTGCAAAACTTATAACTTTTATACTTTTATGAACTAACTTTGTGTGTTTTGATCATTAAGGCAGAAAAGCGTAAAGTGTGCACCTCAAGTAAAATATTACAGGAAAGAGTTGCAAAAATCCAAGACTGAACGGTTTGATCAATTTTAAGCCATGAATTATAATCAAGGTCAGATGACAAAGGGGCAACAACAGAACCATCGATGATTCCCAACAAGCCATGTGACACCAAAAAAGACTCCAACTGTGTACGCCAGGGTAAATAATCCTCTACCGTATCCAATCGGGTGGTAACGATATTGGTCACATTAGGTGTTAAAAAAGTTAACTGAGATGCCAAGGAAGATAATTGAATAGACGTTACCGGCGTGGGGTTTGGCTGTCGTGATGACGAAGGAACGTCAAAAGGGATAGGGCCTGGATGTCGGGCGAATGTCGGACCGGAGAAGGGAACCAGTGCAGGTGAAACTGGACCCGACATACGTGCGGCTGGAGTAGGTACCTGCGTCGTGACCGTTGGCTGCCATGTGAAGGGCTCAGGCATGCCGAATAATCGGGCAGAGCTCAAGGTTGAAGGCATATGAAGCCGCGCGGCAGATAGCTGCGGCGAGAGAGTAACACCGGACGAAGGCAGCTCCAGGCCAGATGGGGCGGGCGCCAATGAGGTGATTGCAACAGTTGTTTGCGGAAGAGGGACGGCAGTATGCGGTGGCACCGATGAGACGGGCGCCGAAGTTGGGGTAGAGCTGGTCGACATATTTCTAGGTTATGGAACAGAAACCTAGGCTGCTGATACCATGTGAGAGAATAATTGAGAGTAAAGAATGGCTTACCCTATTGGGAGCCTTAGCATCCTATTTATAATAATAATAAGAGTATTTACATAGAGGTCCCTATAATATTCTATTAATTATGTACTACCCCCGTCCCAAAATGAAGTTCTCATTCACTATTCATTGATCAACTTAAATCACTCCTAATCTTTTACATTATATATCAAATTCTTATCAAATTTAAATTTCTTGATCTGACTTTGTAGCGGTTTTAATGTAGTTTCTGAATATGTAAATTTTATTTACTAAAAATAATCTGAGTATGAACAGGGATCGATTTTGCTTTATCGTCAATCAAGCATCTTAAACCGAACAAGAACTTCTTTACGGGACGGAGGGAGTATATAAAACAAGGCCGGGTCATCAGGGGAGCAAATGGAGCCCATGAATATGATCCAAAAACTATAATAAAGCCCCAATTATGACTCCCTAAGCCAAAACTATCTAAAATCGAAGATATATAGAGAAATTATCTTAAATAGGAATAAAAACATTCTGAAATTTCAAATTAAAACCAATAAGTTTTTCTCACCGAAATAGGAGTCTTTACTAATAGTAAAACATTGTTATTAGTGGCATTATTATAATGTTAATGTATAGTATTGCATTGCAACTATTTTGGTAGTAATGACTCTGATATGGCAGTAAATACTAGCATGTTACTCCTACTTCGAAAAGAAAAACATAGCTGTCCTATTTTGAAATTCCAAAATTTATTTACTCCTATTTGGGAACTTTGTTTAAGTTATACATGCATTTTTCGGTGATGCAAAAACGAATTGAAAGATTAGTTTCAATAGATCACTCACTGTCAAGGATGCTTTCTTACTCCACTTTTGCAAAGGGTTCCAATTGAAAGATTAGTTTCAATAGATCACTCACTGTCAAGGATGCTTTCTTTCTCCACTTTTGCAAAGGGTTCCAATTATTAAGTTTGGAGGAAAACCCCATTTGCACAGTCTACCCCTATTAGTTAGTTGTTTTCCTGTTACAAAATAAGGATCTTTTGACATTAACTAATTTGCCAGTGGTGAGCTAGGGATGTTTTAATAAAGGAAGAACATGGTGGTGAATTTGATGGATCCTTGAGAACCATGAGAGAAGACCGTGATGTCAATGGCAAAGGCTAAACTGTGACTGTTAGGGCCTTAGGGGTGGACCGGGCCCCGTCCAGTTCCGGTTCGGGCCTGGGCCCGACAAGGCTTGGAGGGTTATGGTTATGGGTAAGGCCCGAAACCGGCCCAAAGTCTACCGGTTCCGATTCAATTTTTATTTTGCTTTCTTATTTATTTCAACCCCACCCCCCAAACCCCTCGGAAACACCCAGCCCAGCCCAACTAAACCCAACCCAAAGGCCTAAACCCAAAAAAAAACAAAAAAAAAAAAGAAAGAAAAAGGCCCGAACCGGGCCCGGCCAGGCCGGACCAGTTCGCCTTTTTCAAGACCCGAGCTTGGAACCGCCTACTCCCCGGGCCGGGCCGGGCCTAAGCCCGATACCGGTTTCCCGGGCCGGGCAGCCCGAACCAAGTTCATCCCTAGTGACTGCACCACCGGAATTACACCCCACTCCATTATTAGTGTCTAAAGAGAAAACAATTCGGGATGGGGAGCCGATCATCTTGTCTTATGCTCCACCTAGATACCGAACAAATGATCAACAACACATCGACTCCACAATGAGATAGATATACTCAATAAGTTCAACGGCTTTAACCCTTTCAACCACAACTGCTCAGCAATCACAACTTAGACCATTACAACCAAATACGCTCATACCATAGTCCATAGAGACTCAAGTCTACTTAACATTGCATTTAATTATGATAGAATGAAAACTGAGATCCATATCACACATATTAGCAAATAATGATATAGAATGATGGTAGAGAAAGGCCAGCAGGGGTATGCTCCGCCTACTCTCATTTTGGTTCACACTCTTGTGAAGCGACATACAAAGTGTAACTGCGGATAACCCCACTTCCATGTTCGCCGTCCGTCTTTTATCAATTCAATCAACAATTGAGCAAATAGAAGTTGTTCCCAAAGTAGTTTCTTGTTCAACCGCATGGCAAAATGCGGTCTTTGTGTGCTTAAGCCTTCTTCACTGCCACTGTCCTTGCTCGTAGATTCAGAAATATTCCCCTATAAAGTGGAAAAGATAAGCAACATGAAATAAATAAATAAATAAATAAATAAATAAATAAATAAATAAATAAATAAATAAATAAATAAATAAATAAATAAATAAATAAATAAATAAATAAATAAATAAATAAATAAATAAATAAATAAATAAATAAATAAATAAATAAATAAATAAATAAATAAATAAATAAATAAATAAATAAATAAATAAATAAATAAATAAATAAATAAATAAATAAAACATACGAGGTAGAAAAGGTTGAGGAGTTGGTCAAGGAACATACCAACAGCAAGCTATAATGCTATGAAATATGACACGAAACTGGAGGGGTACATACAGGTGATTCACCCATCCCACAACTGGCCAAAACTGCATTAATGAAATTGTTAAACAGTTACCATTTGGTATACACAAATGACAATCCATGCGAAATGAACTGAAAGACGGACCGTCCATGCTGTATATTGGATTTTTGGGTACTCTCTTGCCACATTTGATTTCACCTGGACCCATGGTCTTCCTGTAAATATTTAGAAAAGTCCCGTTCAAACAAAGACTTAACTTCCCTAGCTAATAAAGTTGACACATGGTTTCAAAAGATAGGCTCCATTGGTTTCAAAAATTTCATCAAACTAGTTAATTTAAGCTAAATGACTATTACCAAAAGGACCCCCATTCTGCCAAACAGAATAAGTAGTTTGACTTTTATTTGGTTGAAATGGATGTATAAAAAGTTACAAACATGTTTTCGTTCAAAAATTCAACCGATTCAGATAGAATCATTTTAGCCAAATAACCCTAATTAAAGAATGCTTTAGTCCATGGTGCTTCAATACATCATATGTTTTGTCCAAGACGATTACATCTACATAGTATTAGTCATTACCTTTATATCTCTATATAATGAAATTAAAGAATGCTTTGCAAGTTAAACGCTTCGTTGTCTCTTATACAAGATATTTCATTTAAAGAGGATTACAAACTCACCCTCAATAACTAACCCATAATACAACATGAAAAGAAGGTTGTTCCAAGGTGAAGACGTCACTTGTTCAAGCACAACCTGAAAACAGTAATGTCACTCTTCAAAGTTCTAACTTCTTAGCAAATATTTCCTCCGTCCCAAAATGATTCGCAAAGTCTACCTTTCTTAGTGAACATAATTTGGATTTATTTACATATTTAGGATATCATTTTCTCAATTATATTTTAATTTGGATTTTGCGGCTTTATAGAGTTTTCGCGACTTTATAGAGTTTTCAATGTAGTTTCTGAACATGTTAATTTTAATTTTTAAAACTAGATTAACTATCTGCAGTGAATATTTAACCTTATTTTCACTTGTCAGTCAACCTTAAAAACCGCAAATTGCAAATCGATTTGAGACAAAGGAAGTAGATAATAGAGAAAACGAGATGATAATAAAGGAAGAAAAATTATGGAAATTCCTTGTTTGGTTTAGAGAGAAATAGGGAGGAAAAGAAATAACAAAAAAGTGGGCCTCATAGAAATATTCCAATCCAATCCTCATCTAACACGTTAATGAAGTGCATTTGGGGTATTTTGTCTTTGTCTTTTTTTTAAAAGCATACACTTCATTCCTCTTTGATTATCTCTCATACTTGAACAATACAAAAACCCACTCTCTTTTTCACCGATATCATTCTTCTGAGACTCTTTCCTCTTTATTTGTTGTCTTCTTTATATCTCTCCTCAACCAAACAGGGCATTCATGCACAACAAAAATTTTATTTAACGTTTTAACTTAAATAAGAACTAAAAATTATTTAAAGTCCCTTCTAATCTAGTGAGAACATTACTTTCATAAATTTTATTGTTAAGGACAAAATCAAATCTATAATAGTGATATATCATAAATATTTTTAGTGAAGCATGGAATAGTAACATATATATGAAGAAAAGAGAAACTGAGAAACTGAGCAAACTGTACAATTCGATGTTACATTGTTATTTCAACCAAAAGTAGCATTACTTACCTTCTTAGCAGCTGTCTTCGGATCCTTCTTGCCCTTGAAAATTTTGTCCAGCAATATATGAAGAAAGTGACCAAATGGTCCTAGATATGCAAAACCAAAAAGCTGAAAGAACCCAAGTTAGGGGGGAAACATACAAGTGTAATTTCAGATATAAGGGATAGTATTTAAAAACTTTGTTACCAACCAATTTGAGTAGAACCTGTTTTCAATTTTAGGTACTAGGGGACCACAACTTCCCACCTTCTTATCATTTGTATGCCTACTAAGTTTGGTAAGGAGCTTCTTGAAAAGATTTTAGCTTTTTAGTAGCACTGTAAGATTTTTTGTATTTGTTCAAACTCCAAAAAGAAAATGTGTGGTATTACGTTTGATCCAACAAAGTTCGGTTTAAAATAAAAAATCACAGCATATCACATTCAACTGCCAAATGTTGAGTCCACTTGAACTGCTTGCAAGACCAAATACATTTCCAAACACTCAAAAATATATGCTTTGGGGAAAGATACATGGATCATAACAAATAAAATATACTACGTAATATACTAAGAAAGGGCATATAAAATACCACTTTGAGAAGAAGGCGCTTGATTTGAAGTTTTTGAATGCCAGTAATCTTTTGAGCAATTATATCACTTATAGCTGACAGTACTCCAGCAGTTATTGCCTGCAAAAAGATCATTCATCATTTCAAATGGTCATTACTTAAGCTCTTACCTCAAAGGGCTCGTTTAAAACCAGGAAGATACTGAAGAAAGAAAACAGGAAGAAAGACATGGAGGAAAATAGGAAGAAAAGAAAAAGTGGTGTATCAAAGACAAGACTAAAGCTCAATTAGTTTATTTTGGACACTTTGTTGGTACTCTTTATTTATGTATGTCAAATGTAGTAACATATAAAGATTAAGAAATCTAAGTATATGTGTGCAACTAACATGTTTCACTTTCCCTTTCTTTTCACGGCAAAACTAAACATAACAAAACTACTTTCTATAGCTTTTTTCCTATCCTTGCATTTTCCGGGATTCAAACATACAGAAAATGAACTAAAACCAACAGCCAACAATTTCAGTATTCGTGACTTTGTTCTGCTCATTGTATCATTTTAAACAATACTCATTCAATGATAATGATCAGTTATTTAACATTTGGAGAATGTTGACTGGAAGAACCATGTTCAAAGTACGATGTAAAGTTATAAACTGCCCTCCAAACCACTCTAAATTCTAAAAGTCAACTTACACAGCTACCTAATAGAAATCAGAGAGTACCCAGTAATAAAGAGGAGAAATCTTTATTCACTCACCATATTACAAACAAATTTGAAAATTGAAAAAATAAAGATGCCCGCATCAGAAATTAAGATAAAAGGTGCACATGAAAGATCTGAGGAAACCGAAAAAGGCGATATAGATCTCACCTTTGTTCGAAGAGGATGTTTCTGAAGTTGAAGCAAGTACTGCTTTAAGCCCATATTTGCTATTGATCCCATTTTTTCCCAAGAAACTCAACGAAAAGGGATTTCTTACTCTGATCGGCCACCGCGACTGTCATCAAGAAACTAGAAAGTCCACGCTTTTAGGCACTTCACAATGGCTGAGTACGGTTCCTAGACCAAACCGGATGTGGAAAAGTTTGGACCAAAATATGTCGAGATATTACCCAAAATGGGACTAAAAAAGTTTGAAAATTCCAAAATAGGACTTTCATGTTTTTATTCCCAAAATAAGACTAATTACTGCCAAGTTTTGGCAGTACCAGACTTCAAACATGGCAGTATTTTCCAAATTTGGCAGTAATTAGTCCTATTTTGGGAATAAAAACATGACAATCCTATTTTGGAATTTTCGAACTTTTTTAGTCCCATTTCGGGAACTTTCACTAATATTTTTAAATTTTTAAACTGTTTTAGTCTTATTTGGGGAACTTTCCCAAATTATAACGGAAATTGTCAAAATTTGTTTCTATAATAAATACTCATACTTTAACAATAATCAATCAAATTCCTGAATTTTTAAAAAATGTTCAGTTGGATCAATTAGTAGGTTACGCATCAGTTCAGCATGTCACCCGCTGACGTGGCACGCACGTGGCAACCCAGTCAACATTGGTTTTGTTGAGATGATGCATGGATGGAAGTCCAAACAACCATTTTCCGGATGACGCGGGGCACAAGTGGACCGCCAAGCTTGTGCCGCCACGTCAGCGGGTGCCCTGCTGACATGACAAGCAATATGCTTTTTTTAATGAATGAAAGGCAGGCAATATGCTAATTGAACCAATTGAAAGTTTTCTTAAACTTCGAGGATTTGATTGTTTTTTTAAGTATGAGAATCTAATTGACTTTTTCATTATAGTACGAAGATCAAATTGACAGTTTTCCCAAATTAAAATTAAACTAGTAGAAGTATATCTTTATCTTTATATATACATTGTGTATACAAAGATATATTATTATTATTATTATATTATTATTATTATTATGTATAAAAAGATAGTAAGGTGGGAAATCAAATACATTATTTTCCCTCTCACAAAATGACATTATTGAAGCATTTAATGAACACTTATAGTTAATATGTGTATAAATAATAATTAAAGATTAGCATAAGTAATAATTATCTACAACATAAATGTAATTAATATGAATGTTGATTTACATACATGAATAATTATATCTTTTTATATATAGATATAGTATGGTGGGATTTTAAATAGAATACTATTTCTCACTCACGTAGAACTCTTAAGTTGTTTTGAATGAAAAATTAATACATGACTCGTTAGGTCTTGAGAGTTATGAAAGCTATAAATGATTTTTTTAAAAGAAATTGTCTTAAATAGGAGTAAACAACTTTGTGAATTCTAAAATGGAGCTACTATATTTTTTCCTCGAAATATGAGTCGTTACTGTCATGATTGAAAAATATTGTCATGACTGAAAAAAATACCGCGATTAATTATAATAAATAATGTCATGTTGAATGAATAGTGCAACCATTTGGAAGTAATGGTAAAAATTGTCATCTTACTCTTATTTCAGAAAGAAAAACATAGCAATCCTATTTTGAAATTTCAACCCCTATTTAGTCCTATTTTGAGGAATCTCCATTTTGTTAAATATGATACATTCTAAATACAATTTTACTTTGATCCTTAATCACATTTTATGATAAATATTATTATTTTGACTAATAAATAACTATTTAATGATGTTCTTATTTTTTGAGTTAATATTCGAAAGGTAATATACATATTTTTGTTGTATAATATATATATATATATATATATATATATATATATATATATGATGAGATCACATACAAACCACTCTTCCGGTGCAAAATGTAAATTAATTCTATCCGTCCATATTTGCAAAATAAAGAGTCCTGCATATGACATCCACCGTAGTAGTATGTGGGTTGAAAAACATGGAATCACAACCTTTTAACCCACAACTATGCAATCGTTAGTGGGAAAGCCTAGAAAGGTAATTTAACATTCAATAAATTAGGCCGCCATGTGGAAAGTGGAAAGTAAATAGTAGTAAATCTCATGAATTACCTAACTTACCACTACTATTTTAACTACCCAATATTAGAAAAATTAAAAAAAGGAAAGTTGCATAATTTCTATTATGCGGCTCTGGAGGGATCTAAACGAGAGTTTTTAGTACAATAAGAGTGCATGTTTTAGTTGACTTCTTATTGATATGCAAATTATATAGTATTTGGGTTGAATAATTTTGAATTAAAAATTGGAGTTCCAATGTAATTTTGATTGAATATTGGGAGAGGAAGTCCTCATATGCAATTTTGATCAAACTAGCAAGTGACACTGGACAGGTTGCAAAATGCTATTGGTGCATGTCAGTAATGCGTATTAATAATATGCATGAAAGGTACTTGTTTGATGCATTAGTGGGTGACTTGGTGTTAAGAGATTGAATTACATTGAATTTCATTGAGAAGAGATATTGGACTATGCATTTCATAGCATTTAAAGATGCATTATTATGATATATAAGGTGCATATTGTATTAACAAAATTGAAGATTGAACACATTTGTCATGTTGATGAACTTATGGAAATAGTATGCATATAAATGCACTGGAATATGCATTTGATTGTGATATATAGTGCAAACTATAATGAAGAATGGTTGATAGTAAAGTGCACTTTGAGAAGAGATATTGGACTATGCATTTTATACCGTATGACGATGAATTATTGTGATATATACGGTGCATATTGTATTAACAAAATTGGAGATTAAACACAATTGTCATGTTGATGAACATATGGAAATAGTGTGCATATAAATGCATTGGAATATGCATTTGATTGTGATATATAGCGCAAACTATAATGCAGAATGGGTGATAGAAAAATACACCTTGAGAAGAGATATTCGATTATGCATTTCATAGCATATGACGATGCATTATTGTGATATATTAGGTGCATATTGTATTAACAAAATTGAAGATTGAACACAATTGTCATGTTGATGGACATATGGAAATAACATGCATATAAATGCATTGGAATATGCATTTGATTGTGATATATAGTGCAAACTGTAATGCAGAATGGGTGATGTATGTATGTATGTATGTATGTATGTATGTATGTATGTATGTATGTATGTATGTATGTATGTATGTATGTATGCATGCATGCATGCATGCATGTATGGATGGATGCATGCATGCATGCATGTATGTATCAGAAGAATGATGTATTGATGAGAATCAGCGTGATTTGGTATTGGACCCTGACAACCTATGGATGAAATCAATAGTCCATAATGGGAAGAATATGTCCTTAATACTCATTGAAGATGACAAAGAGAGAGGCATGCAGGAAGTAAGAGATAGATTGAACCATAAAGTGGTGAGGTACCAAATTAAGATAGGAAGAAATAACTTCTTGAAGATGTCGTAAGGGAAGTTGGTCTGATAAAGCAACAGAAGGAGAAAAAGAGAAGCGAAAAAACGACGTCATTTCAATATGGCACATTAATTCCAAAGTGTATTAATGGAAATTAAAGTCACTGCCGTCCTTTGGTTTATTCCACGTTGTTTGGCTGAACTTATCTTTAATCTATACAGAGTAGGGGTTCCTTACTGACACTTTTTATATGTCTGCTGCATTGCCATTATTGTACAGATTATTTACCTTTGGGGAAATTTATATTGAACATTTGTTGAACAAATTCGTTTGACCTAAGTGGATTCTTCTTTGGAGACAAAAATGTTTGAACCAACTTTGTTTTCTGGACACTATGGTGAAGTACAGATGCTACTTACAATAGATCTAATCAAAACAGTCTAATGCTTTGGCTAGCTTTTTATCTTATTGCACAAAGTTGAAGTGTGAACCCTCTAGCCCTAGCATGTCATTTTATTGCACATGTTGGAACTTGAATTAATGGCTTGCATATGCGTTGAAAACTATGCCCTTGAATTGGTGTTTGCTCTCAGTTTTCAATTTTGAATTGCACATTTTTTACGTTGCAGCTGCACTTTATCCATTTGGACATCTGTTCTCTTTGGTGATTATTACTTTATGTTTTGCTTTTGAAGGGGAGTCTTGAGTATTCTATTCGGGTATTAGAGTGATAAGGATGTGATTCTGTTGTTCTCAATATTATTTTCTCTTAGACGTGAAGAGGAGACAGTTGCCGAAGTTGACTTGACAGAAGAGAGTGTTCAATGCCTTTATTACTTGACCAATGATTGTGGTGATGTTGAGGTATTGCTCTTGTAGTTATTTTAATATGTAGTATGATTTTAAGTTGTACTAGAGACTTCTCCTGTTTTTTTTTTGTATCATTTCTGTCTTAGAAATTTAGTCTTATAAGTGTTTTTCCTAATTCATTTTATTATTTTCAATGACCAGGGTTTGAAGAATGTGCTAGCTGATAACTATTCTGAAGATTCGGCAGAGTATATTGATCTATTTGAAAAGGTATGATGCATTACAATCGCCCCATTGTTGTGGTAAATTATGTTGCCCGGAAAGCACTCACCTTTTTTTCTCACTAGCTAGAAATGACCTGACGCAGATTTTGCATTTATGCCTGATCTACTAACAAACATAATACGTTTCTTCAAGTAGAACCATTGTTTTATTTTTCTTGTATAACTACTACCTCCACTCTGTTCAAAGGTTCTCATTATAAATGGCACGATTATTTAGACGATAAATAAATATGGTAATTCGAGTATATTTTAAGAAATAGTCTTGATAGGTTATGTATCAGTTATAAATGGTTTATTGATGATAACTGTGGTGTTATAGATAGTATTGTTTTTAATATTTAATGATTAAATTGTTATTTAAGAGTGGTAATTGTTTTCTAAAATAGAAAATGGGAACTGTAGTTGGGATGTCAAAAAAGGGACAGTGAGAACCTTTGAATGAGAAAGTACCGAATAGGAAACAGTTACAAACTAATATTGATATACCATAGTAACAATGCTAATACTATCACCATGTTTAGTGATTGGGTAATGCTCCAATCTTATTCAACCATGACAAAGTTTGCTATTTGTCTTTCATTTTTCATTAGGTTCATTTATATAATTAATATAGTAGTTCGTACTACTTTGTGCTCTCCATATGGAAGCAG